CAAAACTGCATCAAGCCTATTCCTCTCTTTCTCCACCGCAGCCTTTACCTTCAAGGCTAATTCCTCAACAAAGATCAATGATCCTATAAAAATATTCGCATCCTCGAGGTCCTTACAGAAAGTTTTGTAAGTATTTTCATCTCTAAGCTCCTCTACTAAGTATCCTACAACTTCAAAAGAAGCAAACTTTCCATTCTGGTTCAGGGTTTGAACTGCAGCTGTAAGGGATGACTGATACTGAGCTTCTAAAACTACATACACAACCTTAACGGTGGGGAGGCCCTTGTTATTCTCAGGTACAATTCTTCTAACCTCAGGGGTGGTTTGAGTGAATAATCCATTGCCAATTGCAGCACATTTGAATTTCAAAACTGAGTTTGAGTTGGTTGGGCTGGATTTCTTGGGAAGAAATGAGTGAAGAAAGTAACGCTTTTGCGAAATTGATGAAAGTTGGTCCACTTTTGAGCTAGGAATTTGAAAAGGTGAAGAAACCAGAGAAGCCATTTTGCTCAAGCTCCCTAATTTTCTTGAATGCACAGAGGAAAACAGAGCAGCCCACGAATTTTAATGGAAACACTGTAGCTCTAAATGCGTGCACAAGCACAACTATGCTAAAATGGCAAACAGAAAGAAAAAGAATGAAACAGAAATCGGGGGAGGAATCAATAAATGTACCTTGCCCCCTCTTTCAGATATGAGAGCGTTTTCACTATTCAGTGAAGAAGGTTTCTGCTTCTGCATCTGCTTCTTCTTTCTGTTTTCTTGAATAAATTACAAGGCTTCGAGCTTATATCCTTCATGTGGAGAGAAGTGAGTGTATGAAGAAATGAAAGGAAATAAAGTTGGTTATTTTCTGTTAGTGGTCAGACAATAGGACACGTGGAAAACTGTGTAGGCCACTTGGGAGTGCGTGTTCTGAGGTTGAGGTTCAATTCAGTCAGGCAATTTTAGGGAGATCGACCTAGTACTAGCGAGTGGACATTGTCTGCATGTAATGTGGTCTCTGTCTATCTCTTGGGCTTGTTCTGATGAATTTCTTGGTTTCCTATTGGCCAGTTTGGATTTCCTAAGGAAGAAGTACAGGCCTATGAGAGGGGTAGATTGGATTGTTTATGATGAGGAGGGAGATAGATTAGATTGCTAGATTTTTAATCTTTTTTGTTGTCATTCTAGAGTGAACATTTACTTTGAAGGGGAAAGCTCTTTTTGCTTGAAAAGATTCTGATTTTTTAGCTTGCGTCCCTGCGGGAAAGGAAATTGACATTTCCTATGGCTCCAACCTTCCTAGGTCTCATGGCAGGTTAACAGTGACACGTAGAACACTAAATGGCCATAAGAAAAAGAAAAGGGTGAAAAAATAAATAAAAAAGTAGCCTTGCAAATGTTTTCATTGTTTTTTCACCCTCTTTTTTCAGTTTACCTTGCTTCCTAGTTTTGATTGCTACAAGGACAGTGTTGAGAATCATAATAAAGATTATTCGGTCAAGTGATAAAGCGTTTGATATAATTACAAAGCTTGGTTCAGTCGCCACCATCAAAACCTGTAAGGCTTGGTGGGATGGAAGGTCACAAATTCAAACCATCTGCTATTATATATAGTCAGCCATTATAAAAGTGATTTCAAAGGGGTGTGCGGCGTCTGAGGTGAAAATGAAAGTTAAAGAAAGTTTGAAATTATGTTGCATCCCACGGAGAAACAATGCTTATTATGGCTATTTACTATTTTAATATCAATTTATTGCTTTAGTGTCAATGTATAGTCTGATGTAAATAATACTTTAGTGTCAATTTATTACTTTTTTTTTCTTAAGAGACTTTAAACTTTTACACAGCAGAGAATATGACGGAAAGAATTTGAAAGTCAAGGCAAAAATTTTATATAAGAATACTTTAGTGTCCAGTAGTACTTGTTAAATGTGTTTATTTTTTTTTTATATATATAAGAATGTAGTTAATTTACAGTAACTTATTTGCATGCAAGTCTGTTTACTGTTGTCTTTAGCTTTTCAAAACCCTAAACAGATTTTCCTCCAAATGCATTTAATTTAGGTCGATTCATGTCTCCTTCAATATGAAAATAAAGTTTTAAAAAAAAATCTCCATACATGTTTGAACAAATCCTCAAGAAATTGTCTAGAAATATAAGCTTGATCCTGTCAACACTTTGATCTTTCAATGCATTAGTTAACACTCAAAGTTTTGTCCACAAATATTGAAGGAGTTATCTATTCATACACTACTTTTACTTTCTTTTCTTCTTTGGTAAAATGTACAACTACATAGGAGACCGGCCATTTGTCACCCAAAATGGGGTCATTAGTATTGGAACTCGGATGCATTTCTCCATTGCTTTGCCGGCTAGTTAAGACATTTCTACCTGACATGGGTGATGTGCCGTAGGAATGAATGATACCAAGAACACAGGAGACCATCCCCAAAGGCAAAAAAGTTTCAAGATAAACTTACAAGTGAATTATCCTGTAGAATTTGACCCATTTCTCATTCAACGAACAAGGGGTACGAAATATATCAGATTGATTTTCCGATCAAAAAGTACTATGTGAAATCTTCGATTTTTTTCCACCATTAATTAGCTACTTTGTTTATGAATATTTATGAATTTCATAGTAATAGAAATAACATGTCCTACCGAGACAGAATTTGTAACTTGCTATCCTCTTGCCTAGCAGAATATATATATATATATATTATATATATATATTCTGAGATGGGGTTTTGTTTGCAGAAGAATCAAGCATATCAACTGATCTTTTATTCCATATGCTTTACATCAGAGAAGGAATTGGCGTCTTTGTATGGAGATGGGGGATAAATCAAAGAACAAAAGAGCAAAAGTTTTTCGAATACCATATATATAGTTTAGTCGGGAAGAGTCACATTTTTAACCTGCAAGGAATTGGTGTAACTAGGATTTAGACTTTGGGACTGCAAAAAATGAAATGCATGACAAAAACTAGTTGCATCCCCCATATGCCAATCTACGAAAAAAAAAAACCGGAAATCTAGAGCTTTTTATGATAAAAATTAAGCTCAAAAACAAAATGTGGCATATGTATAGTTGTGCATTTGGCGATTGAAATGTATGTATTTCGCAGGAAGAGCAATGAAGCATCCTCCATTTTTTGCATCACTGACTCAAACCCCTGGCCGTCCACTCCCTTAACCTTTTTTCTAAGCTTTCTAAGATTCATGCATACTACGACCCCCATTTTCTCCCTTGTCCCTAACACATTTTTCAGTTTTCTTAAATTAAGGGCTAGTACCAAAATTTCTTTCTCAACATTAACAATTGCTAAAGCTAAATTGTATAAGTAATTCAAGGAAATATTAAGCTAAAATAATTTATGTTAATATAAATATTAAAGTCAAATATATTTAATTATTACCATGATACTGTAATATAGAACTTGAAATGATAGATATTAAATATCTCTAAAAATTTAAACTTCAAAACAATTTTTTAGAAAATAAACCACTTAATTGATAGAGTCATTCATCCTCAAGTTTATCAAGGTTTTTGTGGGGGATTGGTGATTGGGGGGGGGGGGGGAGAAGGGGTGTGAGGGTGGGGAACTTAATATTTGTACAATTTATCAAAAAAAAAAAAATAGCGGTCCAAATTAAATTCTTCAAACTTTTGGGGGGTAGTTTCCCCAACTCAACACTCCCCACCCTTACTTTTGTCACGTTGATCCAATATTTTGCGATACTTAAATTTCTAGAAAGAGAAACTTTTACATTTGCAAATTTAGAGTGTTTTAGTTAACATTCTAGCCCATAGTCCCACATCGTTTCTTCGGGTTGGGGAGTTGGGTAGTTAAGTCCCCAGGTTTGCCTCAAGAGTTGCCGGCTTTTGGGGTTAAATCTGGGATTAGGTTTAATTAACTAACTTCAAAAGTCTGAAAAAAAAAAAAAAAAGTTAACATTCTAGAGTTGGTATTCTAGATTTGTTACTCAAAAAAAAAATAAATTACAAATGAAAGAAACTTTTATATAGCTGTAAAACAAACATAATGTCCATATATTTCTTTTCTTTCAATCAAGAAAAAGATAATATTTGACTGAAGGAGGCCGGTCTCTTGACAAAAAGTTTACACAAACTTTCACCAATGCATTATCCTTCAATTGTTTGGCAGGTTTCGGGTTGGGGGGAAGAAAATGCAAATGCCTTCTTGCAAGACGTAAATAGAAAACACACACACACACACACACACATTGGCACAATATCAGAAAATTGTTACTATGCTGTAAGAGCAAAAGAAAGCTGCAGTTTTCTCAAATGCTAAATGTGGTTCAGTGGTTAATAATCATGTTAAAAAAAAAAAAAAAAAAAAAAAACCTTGACTATGGAGTCAATGGCAGGAAAAGCTCATGGGGCATTCTTGAACAAAACTAACGGGGAGGAAAAGTAGATACTATTAGATTTCTATACTTTATTTTATTACCAAGGCTTGCGTGCCCTGCCGATTGAAAAAGGCAACCCAAACAGAAAAAAAAAAACCCCTTTGTAGCTTGGAATGTATCATCATTTTTATTATGATTATTATACATGTAAAATATATAGCTATTCCAAATTTACACTCGTGGATTAGCTGTTTTTAGAAGTATTTTTGAAAAATTTTACTGCAGTAGAATTTTTATAGTATATTTTGAAATATTGTTAGAAAATATTTTGGAATATTTAAGAGTAAAAGAATTTTTAGAATATATTTTGAAATATTTTTTAAACATTAAAAAAAATTAGACTACTTTTTAGAGTATCTTTTAGAGTATTTTTAAAAAATTTTAATAGTATTTGAAAAACTAATAGTATTTTGAAAAACTCTTGAATCCAAACATCCAAACTGCAGAATTTGACAATCTGGGAATTAAAATTGAAAGGAGGAAAAAAGGGGAAAAAAAAGAAAAAAGAAATAACAACAGGTAGCCTGTGGTCGGTTTCCTGAACAGAAAGATCCTGTTATAATGCGATTCAACTTGGCACCAGGGAAAGTGAGGTTTATACTTACTTTGTATAGGATCCAGCCATCCAGGCCATAACTAGTATCCATAGAAGTCAATGGTGCCATAATGCAAAATACGATTTTTTTAGTCACAAGGATTCTTTACAAGCTCACCATGAAATTGCCATTTGTCTAATTCCTTTCCAACTATAATCCCTGCAAAAAGATTGGCTAAAACACAGTCCTCTGTGATATTTTGCTGCTCATTTCATTCTCAACCAAGGAAGCTAAAGGGTATGAAGAAACGAATACCATTAAAACCTAGATACCGATGGATTCACAAGTTACTCCTGCTTTTAGTCCACCTCCATATCAGAAATTGCTTCATTTAAGATCTTTTGAAGTTCCTTCAGTCTCTGTCTTGTTAATGCAACGCAATCCTGCAGTTTTGAACTTCGTCAGCAGTTTCTCATGGTATAAGGAAAGAGGATGAATATGCAGGTAGGGAGGGATAGCCATAATTAATGAGTAGAAAGCTAAACATTTTTCCATGCTACAGAAACATTATGGAATCTTGTTTCCCGTTTCAAGGTGATGTAGCCTAACCTGAATAGCTGACGTTTGGGCAAGAACTGGTCCACCTGGTTTGTAAAGAGAAACCAATTGACTGGAGGAATCCAATACCACAGTCACAAGTGTCTCCATTATGGATTCTTCCTCTGCTGTAGGATCTGCCAGGATGTAATTCTTGTGAAGTATGCAAGTTAAGGACAATGGTATTGTAGCCAACTTGAGCTTCCTTTTTTCTTTATTGACTGGCTCCTTCTCCAACTTCCCTCCCCCATTATCCTCAGAAATAAGCACAATTCTTCCCTCATCATTCAGAGAAACTACAGGAATTTGCACTGCAAGCAACGGGATTCATGTAAACAAGCAAGGTAGTATGTGAACCTCAAGAATTACATAGCACAATCTTCTATGATGCAAGAATTATGATGGAACACCAGGAGCCTCAGTTTTGCCATCCAAACTAATTACAGAGATGAATAATCTCGTCTTTTAGTGAACACCAGCTCTATAAAAAACCACTTTTGTGCATATCAGAAGGTGTGAAGATGAAGAGTAGGTAAGAGCAAAACAATTGCAGGAGACAGCGGGTGAAAACCTTCATCCCAAGGCTACTATATTTAAGGACCCTGTTCTAGGTGAGCAAACAAAAAATATCTAGGAGAACCAGGACTTGGCAATAAAATGTATAAAATCTGGCCAACACATAGTCCAGGCAAGCTGGCTATATTTCAAGGAACAAAGGAATTAGAAGGATTAAAACCTACACATATGGCAGTGCCTATCATAATTAAACTAAATTCCTCACGCAACCAAACCACAAATTGAAGTTGACAATCATGAAAGACAGAAAAAAAAAAAAGAGATAAACTTACAATGTGAAAAGGCAGCAACTGCAGAAAGCAATGCAGCATCAAAAAGGGAACCATCAGCATCCAAACAATATATGTCCTGTGTCATCATAAGTTGGTAAAATAAGTAAGTGGTTATATTTGCTTAAACCACAAGTCTGCGAAAACACTTCTTCATGAAGGAAATCACAACAAAGTTGAGTTCGACACAAGAGTAATTAAAGGGACTAAAAACAAAGGTTATGTAACAGTTGCAGCTCAAAATTCATTACCAGGTAAGCCATCCAAGCAGCTTTCCCACTGACCAAAGACAATTCTTTCAAATCAATCATGCCAGAACTATAAAATATTCAACCAAACAATCAGCAAAGACAAGAAAATAGATATCCAGAAACAGAATGCATGAAGATGTAAGAGGTCAGGCACTCTGTATTAGGTAGAAAATGCAAAAGTTTCTAATGTTACCAAAAGAAATGTTCAACAACGAACTGAACTACTAATCACCAAGCTTAATTGCTTGACTTTTTCCACAAATACCTAAGCTTGCAATTTACGGTGTGTAGGACCTCTTGCAATCTCTAATGGATTACAAGAGAAAATGCATTTTTACACGGGCAATTCAAAATCATTGTCCAATACTACGTAAAAACTAGGTTAAAAGATGAAGTAGTTCATCAATTAGAAAAGGAGTGGATTGCAGGTATCAAGCTGTTGCCATGACTTGCCTCAAAATAGTGCCAGATAACTGCTTTGCCACAACTGGAGCGGCCTCTGCTGGCCTCCCAGGCCGAACAATAGGAGAACATATTGGGGGCATATGAAAATCTATAGCTGTATAAAATTGCATGTTTAAGTATTCAATTAACCATTAAAGAATTAAGGATGATAAGAGGCTATAAGAGGAACCTATGCATCCCTCATCTGGTGACTCCACTGTAGGTGTCATAACCTCCAATTTAATGGCAGCCAACATGGTCTAAGCATCAAACAAGTGATGTGTGTTAGATTCTACGTCAAAAACCTAAACTGTAAGAAAATAAAATAACATGTTAGCACTGTGGCATAAGAACTTACCGTACAGCCTATCTTTGTTAGTGCAGATCCATTTGCCGATGTAACAGCTCCTACAACAAAACCAATTGCAATTAGCTGACAATAGTAATATCTGCAAATCTTAGAAAGCTTTACGCAAATAAAACCTGGACTGACCAACGGATATGATTGTGTCTCTAGCTTTTCCAAGGGTCCTGCCATCAGGTCTAATAGATTTAAGCAGATGGCGCTCATGAAAACTCAGAGGGAAAAGACGTCTAAAAGCATCCACCTCCATTTCTGAAGATAAATCAGAGCCACTGGCAGCAGCCATGCTCTTTCTAACGCGTCTGGTCGCCTGCAGAGAGCCTCAGCCCTTAGGAAGCTGTTAACTTATATGAAAAGACCCTACTTTTTCCCATCTATCTGTAAGTGAAAAATGCACTAACACCAACATTCTCCAAATAGGAAATAGAAAACATAAAGGATTTCAAAGGTGACAAATTATCAGCTGTTGAGTGCCGGAAATAAAATCATAATCCGTTATGAAACTTAGTAGATTTATCTGGTTCTAAGGCAAAGATTAATAAAACAACAGTTCATTGAACAATCTTATAGAATCTTGTTCAATAAGAACCAATCTTCTCATGTCAAAAGCAATTAATTTTTCTAAACCAGCAAAAGATCACGCATTTGGACAGATCTTAAGAAAGAAAATAATAGTGAAGAAAACATGTTCAGATATTATTGCACTCCCACCACTGCCTTCCACATGTCTAGCACTATTCTAATGATGTGACTAGCTAGCATGCCGAAATTTCTTAAATCTCCAGCCTCATGTCTGATAATGGATAATATTTGTGAATACCAAAGCCTAAAGTTTAATTTCAACAAGATGGACAGTGCAGGAGGGAAAAAAGTTAACCAAATTAGGACAGGTGATTATTGGAAAACAATGCCTTCAATGTCTAAGTCTTACAGAAAACTCTTAAGTTTAACATGCCATGTCAGAACAACATAACAATCATTCATCATCACCATATGACATTTCTGTTCTACCTATCATGGTTGTAGAATTCTTGAAATGGCTAGTGAGTGCATGAATTCAATTACTTCTTGGGGTATCATTTGAGCTGGATCTTAACAAATTAAAAATGATTGTGCTCTGATACAAATGGACTTAAGATCCACGTGATCACATCAGAACAAAGTAAATAATTACCTAATAACGCAAATTCAGGCAAACATACTTTAACAACTTACCATCCCTAAAAAGATTCATACTTTGGTAATGATTAGCACAATTGTCAAAAAGACATGTGCTAATGCAAATGAATGAATGAAATAAAACGTGAATATTTTAGCTAAGCACAATCTGATAAGGTAACATAGAGAAAATGCAGATAGAGGATCAAATTAACATGGAAATGAATGTTCTCAGGTTAACCACAACCACAGAAAACAACCAACCGCACCCCCTCTCCCCACCACCAGAAACTTCCCAAAACCCAAATTTAAAAAAAAAAAAAAAAAAAAAAAAAAAAAAAGGGAACAAGAAAAAACAAGCCTCCTCTGGGGAAAAAAATACAAACACAAATTAACAAGTGGGAAAAAAAAGTAGCTACATGATTACGTAGAGAAAATCAACATACATTCAATCAAGATGGTGGTAAAGTTTAGAAATTCAAGCTCTCGAAAGGGACAGTGGCAGAAAGATAACAACCATTCACCTTATTTCTGTTAAAATTAAACAGAAGACTTAATAACAACTAGTTAACATCCAGAAAAAGCATCTTTGCTTAGAAAGATTGAATTTATCAGGGGGGGGTTTCTCCTTCTTCTTTCAATTGTTTCTTTTCCCTCCTTCTTCTTCCTTTCAAGAAGCAAAGTCTTGTAAAACAAGACCAATGTTATCCTGAAAATACAGAGAGAGAGAGAGAGAGAGAGAGGGGGGGGGGAGAGAGGGGGTTACCTTTTATTGAGATGTTAGACGCTGCACTGGACTGCACTGCTCAGCGGTGGCAACTGGGAGGAGGGAGGAGGAAGGGTCCACAGTCACATATTAGGACTGAACTGAACAGATAAATGCTTAGAGTCGCCACCGGACCTTGCAAAATAAATACTAATAATAACAGTAAATAAAATAAGCACGAGGGGCTTTGGTAGAATAAAAACAAGGGATAATTTCAGAAACCTCCCCTGAGGCTTCTGACAATGTCACTGACCTCCCCTGAGGTTTCCACAATTACACTGACCTCCCCTGGCAGAACTTGGGACCCAATTGCTGACATCATATAATGCGAAATTACTATTATACCCAAGACATTTTGTGTTATTATAGGACTAAAATATGATAAATAAGTCATTAGGGTCAAATTAGAACTTTCAATTTCATTAACCAACTTAACAGTTGGAATCTTGCTAATAAAAAATGCATAAGCAACTGGCGCCAATTTCGTTCACCAATATGGCGCCATTTTGCTGATTGACATTAGGGACAAGACAACAAATCAGTTTTTACATATTGTGAAGAAGGCATCGGGCAGAAGAAAGAAAAATAAGAAGAAATGCAGTGAAGATAGAAGCTGAACAAACCTGCAATTTTCGTTCAACTGGTGAGGCAGTGATGATAGTACTCTAATTTCATGATTTTGAAGTAGAAAGGAGGGAGTATGGAAGGCAAATTCTGATATTTTGAATGCTGTAAATCACAAAAATAACAACAAAAAAGGTATGCAAGCTCTGTTATCTGTTAATGTAATATGATCGAATGTGACCTGTTACTTCTAGAACATATAAATTTTCAGAGTTCATCATGTAAATTTGAAAGAGAAAAGAGGGAGTATGTCAAAACCATGAACTTAGTTAGATGTTAAAGTCAAAAGCATGACAAAAATCATCATTTGTTATGTTGATCATAGTTGTTCAATGCTTGATAAGCTGAATAGATGATGTAGTTAGACAAGTTGTGATCACTGGTACATGTAGTGACCTGTTACGTTCATCATCTGTTATGTTGACCATGGTTGTTAAATGCTTGATAATCTGCAATAAGTTAGATAAATTGTCTATTCTGCCAAATATAGTTTTAGATCTTTGAGTTGTGCCCTGTTCTTCATTTATTGAGTAAAAGTGTTTCATCATCACAGAATCATGTTAATGGTTGTTAGTGCTGATCTATTAATATTAATAATGTAGGATGGTGAATAATGGTGCTTATGACATAGTTGTGCATTACAAGGGAAGGAAACTGAAGATTCCGAATGTTGATCCTAATGGCTACTTGTACATTAACTTGCTATATGATGTCGCTGAAAAAGCATTGAGTGAAATGCCTGGAAATGCGAATATGATGATACATATGAGGCATGAAATTCCTGGAACATGTGAAATGCGTGATGCTAATGATGACAATGCAGTAGTTGAGATGTTTAAAATGCATCAATCTGGAATTGTAATCAATTTGCATGTGTATGATATGGAAATTATTCCAAGTAAGCCGGATGGACCTTTAAACCATAACAATGTTCAGAACACCCAAGAGAATTTAGGCATTGAACAAACTTATGAAAGGGTGGTTGTTGACCTTGAAAATTCTGATGATGAATTTGAGGACTCTAGCTCTGGCGAGTCATGGGAACATATGCTTGATAGTGATAATGAAGGTGATATAGATGATGATAGAGTTTCAGTGGAGAGTAGTGACTTCAGTGACACTAATTTTTCTGATTTTAAAGAAAATGAGGATTGTGATGTGGTTCCTGATTCCGGATCTGATCAGGAACTTGATCCTATGAGAGAAGTGATGAGATCAAAAATGTGGGTGTACAACCCAAGAGAGGACATTGAGTTTGAGAAGGGCCAATTATTCACCAATGTGGACTCCTTTAGAGCAGTTTTGAAGGATTATGTCATTCCCATTCAAAAGGGATTTCCAATAGTAAGACTGAAGAATGAGAAAACTAGAGTGACAGCTATTTGTGGTATAGATGGCTGCAAATGGAGAATTCATGCGAGTCCGGTGGCCGATTCTGTCACCTTTATGATTAAATCTTACCAACCTGAACATACTTGTGTGATGGATAAAAGTAATGTAGAAGCCACATCAGATTGGATTGCAAAGAAGTTGGTGCCTTTGATGAGAGCTCATCCTAACATATCTAGCCAGGGCATAGAAGCAGAGATGATAACAAAGTATGGTCTTAAACCGAGTTACATGCAGCTTTTTAGAGCAAAAAAGAAAGCAGAAGAGGAGATTCAAGGAAATTTCATTGATTCTTATAGCAAATTACCAAAGTATGCTGTACTTCTAAGACAATATAATCCACAAAGCATTTGCAAAATACATTATGATAGGCCAAATCTTCTTGTAGAGCCCAGATTTTTAAGAATATTTGTTAGTTTTAGAGCACAGAAAACTGGTTTTCTTGAAGGTTGCAGGCCATTCATTGGCTTTGATGGCTGTCACTTGAAGGGTCCCTTTGGTGGTGTTTTGCTCACAGCAGTGGCCTTAGATGGCAATGATAGTATATTTTCAATTGCATTTGCTGTAGCCGAATGTGAAAACAAGGTAACATGGAGCTGGTTCTTTCACTTTTTTGAGGAGTTTTTTGGACCATTCAACAGCCACTTACTTTTAACCTTTATGAGTGATAGGCAAAAGGTACTGCTCAGAACAATCTACTCTTTGCTTGGACTTGTTAAAGGATCTGAAATAGCTTTTTTGACTCATGAATTATGCTGTTTTAGGGGCTCAACCTTGCTTATGAGGAGATATTTCCAAATGCTAGTGGCAGATATTGTTGCAGGCACATTTGCAGCAACTTCAAGCAGTAATTTCCAGGCATGTTGCTTAATAGTTTCTTTTGGAAGACAGCAAAGAGTTTTGATCACAAAAGCCACAATGAAGCAATGTCAACCATTAAAGACATCAACATAAAGGCTTGGAAATATTTGGACAAAATTCCCAAGAAAGCCTGGTGGAGATATGCATTTCTAAAAGAAATTAAATGTGACCATGTCACAAATAATTTCACTGAATCGTTTAATTCATGGGTTGGTGATCTCAGAGGCAAACCCATACTTACCCTTGTTGAAGGTTTGAGAAGGAAGTTCATGAAGAAAATGCATAAGAGATACCAAAAGGGATGCACATTAACTAACAGAATCACCCCAAAATTTGCTGAAAAGCTCAAAAAAATTGCTCAAGCATCAAGGCATTGTACCCTGACTTTGGCAAATGATAATACATTTGAGGTTGGTGATATGGACAGATCGTTCATAGTCAATTTAAACCAGAGGACCTGTGACTGTGGTGCCTTCCAATTAGTTGGACTTTCTTGCAAACATGCTGCACTTGGCATCATCTACAAAAGGGAAAAGTTGGAAGATTACTGTGATCATTGGTTCTCCAAAGACATTTACCTGAAGGCATATGCTTCTATGATTCATCCTATACCTCATGAAAAGATGTGGCCTCCTATGCATGAAGTTACCCCTAAGGTTGTATTGCCCCCTCCTTTGAGAAGAGCTCCTGGTAGACCAAAAGTTAACAGAAGAAGAGAACCTGATGAAGGACCTTCATCTGAACCAAAAAGGTCTAGTACTTTAAAGTGTGGAAATTGTGGTCAGTTTGGTCACAACATGAGAACATGTCAAAAGCTCCTGTGCAAAGAAAGAATCCGGCTAATACTCATGCTCAACAGGTATCATCATACACATATTTGTACAAATTAAATGTTCTTGCTTGACTCATCAACTGCTTATGTTGTTTACTTCATGACAGATGCCAACTAGAAGAGGGAAACCAGGCAGAGGAATTGCAAATTTAGGACTGCAAGGATCTGTTCTCTGGGTATAAATCATGTTTCAATTATGCAGGTCATGTCCTTAGTGTTACCTAATCATATTACATTAACATGTAAATTTATTATGACAGGATCATGCACATGGGAATGTGCCTGTTGTGTATTCAAGTATAGGTAGCAATTCAAATCCTTCTACTGGAAATGCTGCCATAAATGTTCAAATTAATGTACAAACAGGTACAATTGCCTCTAAAAGAAAGGTACGGGCTCTTTTATTATGAAATCCAATCTAGTGCTACTACATATGTATTCAATAAGGCACAAACTCTTCTATTTTGAACAACTGCAAAGAGGAAGGCCTTCAAATGCTACTTCGACAAATGCTGCAACAGGTTCTCGCAGAAGAGTTGCACCAGAATTTGCTCAACCAACTAATCATCTGTCAACAACTCCTGTTCAAGCCCCTAGTGATGCTCAAGCTACTACATTTGTTAGCATGAATGCAGCTGCAACTCTGAACTCTGCCAATATTAGCACCAGCAGTAGTTTTAGCCTGCATTTCTAATTGCTACTGTTATTCTTACATTTCTCTTCTTTTGTGCTTAGTGGTGCTTTGTGAAGTATAGTTCATTAATATACTGCTTACTCATGCTTTTGTATACGGTGTTTTGTGAAACTATAACTATAACTAAACAATGGTTTTGCAATCCTCACCCTCTGCCTGAATTGCTTTAAGGCAGATGGTGTTTTGGATAGTATTGGATTGCATTTTTATTTATTTAATGTATGGTTATGAAATTTGTAATGATATTACTCTTGGATTGCAGTTTTGGTTTGCACCTTATTACTGTTAAGGTTTTATAAATGAATGTTTTAGTTCTTATTTCATTTAATGGATCTGAATGTTGCAACTTCAGCCTGTGACAAATAACTTAGTTTCTGCACTGCTCATGAACTTGTTCAATTCACTTCTTAGTTTCTGCACTTCTTAATGCTGGTTCAGAATATGTTGAAAATAAAAAACAAATCCTATCCAAAGTCAAGTTACTGCCGTGGTGTTCCAGATCCAAAGATCAAGATCTATGATGTTGGCATGAAGAAGAAGGGAGTTGATGAGTTCCCATTCTATGTCCACTTGGTTAGTTGGGAACAGGAGAATGTCTCCTATGAAGCACTTGAGGCTGTTTGTATTGCTTGCAACAAGTACGTGACTAAGTATGCTGGGAAGGACGCATTCTATTTGAGGGTTAGAGTTCATCCTTTCCATGTCCTGCATATTAACAAGATGTTTTCAATTTGCTGGAGCTGATAGGCTTCAATATGGTATGAGAGGTGCTTTTGGGAAGCCATAAGGAACATGTGCTCGTGTTGCTATTGGTCAGGGACTCTCTTTGCATGCTGCAAGGATGCTAACAGCCACCATGCTCATCTCAGCTTTGAGCAATGCCAGGTTCAAGTTTCCTGGTCGCCAAAAGATTATCATTAGCAGGCCATTCAAAATTCACCAAATTCAGCCGCACAGACTATGTCAAATGGTAGCAAGAGAATCTGGATCAGATTTCTGGTGTTAATGCCACTCATTTTTCTTATTTCACTAACATCCCCTCACTTTTTCTTATTTATTTCTGATTTTTATTAGTTTTCATTAATTCACTAATATAACTTGTACACCTACCTTAAGGGCATTTATGGGAACAAAATTTCCTCTCTTTCCTGAAAACACTTTTTTATGTTTACTTTTGTGGTCATGGGCTGATTTTGTTACAAAATCAGAAACCTCAAGGGAGGTTAGTGTAATTGTGGAAACCTCAGGGGAGGTCAGTGAAATTATCAGAAACCTCAGGGGAGGTTTCTGAAATTATCCCTAAAAACAAATACAAGGGATAAGAAGGTTTTTTTTCATGAGGAAATTTTCTTTTAAACTCCCTGAGGTTTCTGAAATTATCCCTAAAAACAAATACAAGGGATAAGAAGGTTTTTTTTCATGAGGAAATTTTCTTTTAAACTCTTAAAGTTGTGAACTAATTTCGTGGGATTAAAGGAGAAAAGAGCGAAAAGAAAAGTAAAATTTAAAAAAAAATTCTTTTCAAAATCACAAAAATTATAGTAAACCTCATATTAAAAGATATGACTGGTCTGTTTTGCTGAATCTTTTGATCATTAGTGTAATTTTGCTACTTATTTGTGCTGTCTAATGTATTGAATGTGAACTTTTTGAATAGTGAAATATGTGTGTTAATTATTTTTATTTTTTATTAATACAACTTATATACATTCATAAGATGTATTTATGGAATAAAAATTTTATCTCTCTTCTTAAAGTAGTATTTTAATGTTACTTTTTTTTTATGACTTGGACTAATTTTGTTACCAAAATCTTAACCTCAGGGGAGGCTAGTGAAATAATTACAAATCTCATGGAGGTTTCTGAAATTATCCCCTTTTTTCCCCCCTTCTTTTTCGAATAAATCCAAATGTCAATAAAATGTTTCACAACCATGTTTTTTCTTGCTGCTATTTTTATCCAAAGTCCAAAGCTCCCATCTCACCCTATAAAGATCTCCAAACCCAAAATAAACAAATAAAAATTACTCCAATAAACATGAAATAAATTTAGGAGCAGCATGGCTGTTTAATTCCACTTGGTCTATATCTAGGTGGAAGACTGGATCCAACCAAGAATTTACCACAAAAAAAGAATAGTTGTATTTGAAAGAACATACTTCTTGTTGTAATACATTATTGTCTTTTGGGAAAAATTTAATAAATCAAGCTAGGGAATTAGTTGATGACAATTATGATAAAATGAATTTTACAATAAGATTTTTTAGAATATGTGATTCCAAAGAATGTTTTGGTTTCATTGATGTAATGCTTCAGGGGTATAAAATTTGACCAACTTCAATATTAGAGAAATAGAATAGTTCTTTTAAAGATTGATTAATATACATATAAGCGCATATGAAGTAGAAATACTCTTCTTTTGAAGTTCAACAGATATACTAATAATATTTATGCGCACACATATGCATGAATTCTATTTTGTTGTGTAATGTGATTATATTTGTAGCTTAGAACTTGAACCAAATTATCAGTTTAAAAGTGAACCATCATGACAAACAATCATATTTTGTGTTAACAATTTACAGGTCAACCTAAGTCATAAGGACATGCACAATTTCCTATTGAATTTTGATGAAACTATGAGCTATATGCTTTTCAATTATTAGCAGATGAAGTACCATACAATTAGCTCTGGCAATGGCTTGATAAGTATGAAAATTTTGAGTCAATTATTTCTGTTATTGGCAATCATAATACACAGTACTCTGCCAAACAAAACATCGGCAAGGAGTAAGCATTTTATGAAAAGGATAGTTCATGATCAACTCAAATTAGTATACAATACAGAGCAAAAATCATTTTGTTACCTTAAAAAAAAAATGTCTAACATAGAGAAGTAGCAAGAAAAGCTTCAAGTAAGGGGCAGGGGAGCCAAATGATCCATATGGGCATCTGAAAATGACCAGGCGGATCATACAAAAAGCTCAACCAAATAATGCGCTGCCAAAATCTATCATGGACCAATGCATTTAGGACAAGTCAAATATTAGAACTTGATTCAGCGAAACTCAAAAATCTCTGCTCCTTTCTTCAATTGATATGCCTGCTTACTCCTTTGAGTTAAAACTTCTCATATTTATCTGATATTAAAACTCCAGCATGATAATCAATTGGAACCAACATCTACCCCTTTGTTCTTCAGGAAGTCCTTGGCTTCAAGGATATCCTACACGAGGAAAAACTGTATATCATAAATCCGAAAAGAAAAAGAAAAGACAATTTCATTGATTTACACATCTGACTCTAAATTTGCTTGTTTTGCAGCCCCCGGAACCAAGCTTCTTCAGCCAAAAAAAAAGAGCAGATGTGCAATATTTTATTCCTCATTTAGGTTTCCTGAATGGAAAGTGGCATGTTGGGGGGATAAGCTGGCGATTTCCACCAGTTGCCAATTATAATCCACACAAGAGCACATGATCCGCAACTTGTCAAGTGAACATAAATAATGCAAAAGTACCTGATGTAAGAGAAGTGCCTCTTGAGGACAAGTTGGAAATTGCATCAGGCCAACTCCAACCATTAAGATGCCATAGCACCCTAGAGAGACAATGAAATAGAGCGGCAACTTGGGCACCAAAGACAATTTGTCAACTAAATCCCATAATATGAGAAAGAGAATGAAGATATGTGAAGAAATAACCAAGATAAGAAGAAGAAGCTCACCAACCACGTATAGCTCTCTGGAATTACTGACACTTGTAAAAGGCCAATCCAGCAGGCAGAAATAGCCACTAGCAATGCCAGAATCTTCAGAATATGCTTCATTTTAACTGTCAGAGAAAGATTCTTCACCTTAGTGATACTTCAATTACGAAAATTCTAAACAAGTGTCTGCTGCATATAGCTAGCTAGAACTCCACTTCATTGCTAAGATCTTATGCACTTTTGACTCTTAAAAAAACATTTGTAAGGAGCTGCACTGCCATCATTTCAACGGCAACCATTCTTGATACAATTAAGATTTTGCTGTACAACTCAAAACAAAAAATTTTAATGACCAGGAAAATGGGATGCATACACACCAGTGCAGGACATACTTATTATCTGTAATCTAAAGATAAAAAAGTTCAAAAGATAACATGTAAGTTGCTTTAGGTATGAAGTTAACAAGGGTTGTCTAGAAAACACAAATAGCCTTTTCTTCACAGTTCCATTTGTAATACATCCATATTATAACACATACATATTACAGTATTTATCGTATAATTACATGCCAAAAAGACAAAAACGTCATAGAAACTACAAGAAGAATTTGTCTATCTCCTTAATTACAATTAAATCACAAACAATTAAAAGATGGCGGAGGAGAAACTTCTGTCATGAAATAAGAATAAAATATCACCATTTCCTGGTCAGTAGTAATGGAAAAACATGAAACACAAAATGAATAAAAAATTTGAAACTCAAAACTTCTTCTGTGAGTCCAGTATCATTCTGGAAGAACAGCATTGAGTAAATAATATAATCAGATATTGATGATGCCAAAGTTGAGCAAGATATCACAATGGAAGCATAACCAACATACTTACATGAAGAGTAAATTTGCCAACTTCTCATCACCAAAATAACTTCTCAAACAAAATTCTGATAATAGCTAATTACTAATGAAATGAAGTGCTTGTGGAAGGATATACAACAAAAATAATCCTCTTTACCAATGCAATTGAGGAAAAGCCTCAAAATCAAGGGCTAGGTAGAGTCCCAAACACGATCAGCAGTTTAGGTTGTCCATCAGCTCTTGTTAAACATAGCCAGCCAAACTAATCCAAATGTAAGCTCTAGCACATAGATATTGTTTCACATTTTTACTAAGTTGCTAATTTCCCCTACCACTAGGGGTGAGCAATCGGTGCATATTCGGTCATTCGGGTATATGAATTCGATAAATTCGGTTATTGAATTTACAGAAATCTAAACCGCTTTCAAATTCGAATTGGTAATGAATTCGGGTTAACTGAATTCATTAAAATCAAGAATCTTCATGTGAGACTAACTCGGCATTAGATTTTCTCGAGTAGTAGACCTGTTGACCATTTCCATGGCAATCCCTTTCATCATCTAGCCTCCGGTCTTCAAAATCAAACATGCCTGTTTCAACATTGACAAATTCTTTTGGCTTATTTCCAAAACCCAAAGTAATTGCATTGTTTGAATTCCTTTCCCAGTTCAGATTCTCCACTAAAGGAGAAAACTTGCTCAGTGAATTGGTTGAGGGATCTCTAAGAGATCTCACTCTCCTAATGCTCAGTGCTACTAATGCTCTCGAGATAGGAACGTCAACATAATGCCTCCTTCCATCCATCAACTCCGAAAGGCATACCACTCAAGGCACTAAAATTGTTAGCTTTCGCAAGTTACAAGAGAATGCTCCATTCACAACCAGAAATTTACCCGAAAGCGACATTCAAAAGCCCATTTTCATCCCAAAAGCCACTCAATCATGCATACGAGTTCAATTACACAATTCCCAGAAATTTTCTTCTCCAGAAAAGAAAACCAAAAGTACATTAAAAGGCTAAAAATTACCGAACTTACCTACGTGAGCCAGCACGGCAATGAACCAGAGATGAGCAGCGATTGGCACTTGGCTTTGGCAGCGATGAACCAGCACGGCGTACGGATGCGGTAATTGAGGTCAGCTAATGGTTAAGGTGAACTGGTGAATTGAGGACTGGAGTCGAATGAGGACTGAGGTGGAGACGTAGAGTGCGGCGGAGAAGAGACTGATTTGGGAGTGAAGCTGTGAAGGCAGAGTCCCAGAGAGGAGAAGAAGAAGAGACTGATTTTGTTTCTCAGATTGATTTGGGAATTGGGAATTGGGAATTGGGAATGAGAGTTAATTTGCGAGTGTCCGATCCAAATTCACCGGAAGGCAGTGATTGTGTAGTTTTTAATTTGCAAATTGGGGCTCTAAATTATTATACATTCATTATGTTCCTCAATGTTTTAAAAATTATTACTGATTTGATCCCCAAATTTATTCATAATTTAATACATTACTCATGTTCTAATCATTTTGTGGTTTAATTGGTATTCATTTGATCACTTATACCTAGTTATATCTTGAATCCTTAATCAATGATTTAAGGAATAAATAAAAAGTGATTAATTTAAACTAAAAAACACCTTAGACTGTACAATAATTAGTAATAATTTACAAATTTATAATTTATAATGATTAATAATAGGTAATATTAGTTATAAACTTACAAATTACGATTAGTGATAAATGATATTAGTTACAAACTTACAATTTACAATAGTTAGTGATAAGTTACTAAGTTACAAACTTATAATTTATTTCAAATCAAAATACAACTTATTTACTTACTTATGTTATTGTGTAGTTATATACACAATGTCACTTACTTACTTATAAATTACAAAGTATGTAATACATTATACTTACATCTATTCTTATTTCTTATATAGATTTTTTGGAAAAATATGCAAATTTCTTAATTTGTTTTTAATAGTGAAAACCAATACACTAATACATTGATTTGCAATTCACATGCATTCACTTAGACTGCTTAGTTATCTTGTCTATGCTTAAAGCCTTAAGATTAGTGAATAAAGAATATGAATTTTTATGTTAAATATGTAATATAATTTTAGAGTGCACTAATACTTGCAAGTTACAAGTTACGCATTCATATATCAATAGTTCAAACATGAATGATATACCAAATTACCAATATCCAAATTCTAATTACTAAATATGTTTATTGTTTGATATTTAGTATTATACCTCTCCTTATTAATTAGGGTTAATCACATTTAATCCCCTTAAGGTATACCCAAATTTTCAGTTTACCCCCTAACCTTTAATTTTGCTCACTTAATCCCCTATAGTACAAAATTGTCCTTGCATTATTTTGACTTTTTATTTACCTTGTTTTCCTTTCTTTTATTTCTTTTTCTCTTTCTTCTTTATTTAATTTTTCCTCTTTCCCACAAAAATTTTTACCTTAATGATTGAAATTAAAAAAGAGGAATTGCAGATATCTATCTTCTTCTTAAATGATTAAAAAAAATATTCAAATAACTTTTATAAAATACAATTTTTTTAGCCTTTCAATTCTTGTAATTTTGGATTTTTCTCTTTCCTTTCTAGTTTTTCATTTTATTCTCAAGAAAACATCATAAGATGAAATTTATGCATTTGTGGGCAGCCAAAAAGGCGCCTTTAATTTCAAGGTATTAGGAATTTTATAAGCATGTTCTGAGTATTAGAAGAAGTGGGATTGTTTAATTTTCATAGTTTTATTTCATGTTTTGAGGCATTAATTTTTTTTTTTTTTGGCAACGATAACAATTGTATAACTTATCCTATCTTAATCTACCGGGGAGAGGTGGCCAATCTTTGCGTGGTCAACTCCATTCTCTGTCTTCGAGATTTCTAAAAGAGTCCCAAATGGCCAATAAATGGAAAAGGCAAAAATACTTGAATAAACCATTTCAAAGTAGCTCCAATAGAATAAATGCTCGGAAATTAGCATAGAGAAAATCCATAGAATTTTCTAATAATCATAAATAGGAAAAGAAATCAACATCAACATTTTCACAGAAGAGCAAATTATTCGAATGACCACTGAACTTTTGGAATCGTTGAGTTTTAACTACTGAACTATTAAAAGTCTGGTTTTGATCACTGAATTATCTAAAATTTAAATTTCAGGTCATTTCGTCAAATTTAATCGTTAATTATGTCTATTTCGTTTGTCTCGTGAATCGTGCGAACACTCAAATCCGTCATATTTAACGATTAAATCTAACGGAATGGCTCGATATCTAAACTTTACATAGTTCAGTGGTTAAAACCAAACTTTTAATAATTCAATAGTTAAAACTCAACGATACTAAAAATTTGGTGATCATTCAAATAATTTGCTCTTTTCAGAATAGTAAATGACCATAAAAAAACTACGGTACCAAAGACAATGATTGACCCTAATATAGCCAATATTTACAAGTAAACCGGACCAAAAATCACCATGTCTCAACTCTCCTTTATTTTATAGTCTTATTAGTAACGAGTTTACTGTGCATGAATCACCACACTCACAACGTATATTATTGTTTGTTACCATATGACATAACAAAAAAGAATGGATTAATCTGTGACTGCAGTTTCTGATTTTGTGAGCATTTGGCTATTTATTTTTTGAGGTTTTAGCCACCAAAGCTTAAAATTGTACTAGCGAACAACATTATTAGTAACAAATTACATTACTGATAATAAGATAAGGAAAAATGATCAAAATTGTCGCTGACCACCCTTAATTTGAAGTGATTCTTTCATAATCCCTCACATGAAACAGTCCTCCAAATGTATCAATTTTGACCAGAACCTATTTTTAAATAATTTTCCGACCAAAAGATGCAAGTCCAAGTAATTCTCAGGAAAAAAAAAAAAAACAGGAGTAAGATTAATATTTTAGTCAAAAAAAAGCCCTTTCCCCTTCCTTTCTTCCTCTAAGAAGTGGTGGGAAGGCTATTTGGAAGAAAATGTTGTACTAGTTTGTGGTTTGCTCCTAAAAGCATCAACAGGGATGTTGTTTTAGACAGTCCATTCCACCTAAATTAAATGTTTCGTTTATCTAGCAAACAAGACAATTTGACTGCTGGAGATTTTTAAAGTATATTAATCTGAAATTTCTTCGTTTCAAATTTTTGTTGTTACATGCAAATTCACATTTCAAACGGACCCAAGAGAAATTTTGGGGGGGGGGGGGGGGTCTGGGCATGAATTTCTGAACATTATTTTGTTCTTGGTCTCTAGGTTGTAAGTTGTAACCTTTCCTTTCTTTCTCTTTTTTGTCTTTTTTTTTTTTGTAATGTGTATTTGTTCATTGAGGTTAAGTATAGAAGAATTTGTTCAACTTGGAGCAGCTTGAACTACTTGCTCTCGTAAATGTCCATAGCTGCCTTCATTTCTTTACTTTTTTCTAGCATTTATTTTAGCTCTTTTTTCTCCGGATGGTCTACATAATGTTGCACCATATTTAGGGCCCGTTTGAAAACAAGAAGTATGCATTTTACATTTTCCTTGAAGCATTCAAGTCTCGGATATGGGAAATATACGTTATTGGACATCCCCATGCAACGAACCAAAACAAGGAAATATATACAACTGATGTAGTGTAGTATAAGTTTGCACTATTCTTGAATATGCAAGTGCAACTGGTATATGCTTCTTATCAATAGCATGCATCCATGGCAAATTATGTTGCTAAGAATCTGCATGCTGTCACGAGGAGATTTGACCACTTTAATTTGTATGATGACACAACTTTTATTGCCATATATCGTAGTAGTAGTAGGAGACTTACAATTGATCAGGGTAGACGAGGCAATTTGCCAATTCCCACCTGCCGATTTCTACTCTTAAACGCTTGATCATGATATCTAATCAGATTTTGACTGAATGAGAAGGGCCAATTCTACTACTACGCTGAGTACAATTCTAAGTACCATCGCTCGGAAAACTGAATCACTCCTGCATCAGTCAGAGAAACTACTAGTAGCTAAAAATTAAGAGCACAGAAATCATCTTATATGTTCTTCAAAACGACATCTGCGAAGCGCTGCAGAGGTACTTTTTTGTACTTCTTGAAAAATGCATCCTTCAGTAGCTTCTCAGCTGAGGGCCTCTCCACAGGTTCAACAACTACACATCTTTTCACGAATTTAATGAACGAATTTGAAACCTGATAATTTCGCTCATCAGCGAGATCGGGTGTTCCTTCATGCGTTCCCTCTGCCTTTCCACGACCAATGAATTTCTTGATTTTCTTGCGCAGATTCTTAAATTCTTCACTGACGGCCTCCATAACAATTTTCATCCTTCCTTGTTCTTCTTCTACTGTCCCCTGAGTCTGATCAGCAGCATTTTCTAGAGCAGTAGTGCTAGTGAAATCACTGCTTGGCTGCCGATTATTACGATGTTCAAGCAAACCATAAAGGTAGAGATCGCTCACACTCGGGATATCATAGCTGGTGTATTGCATTAATTCAACTATCGACAGGAATTCTTCTGGAGTACTGACTCTTACATTCTTTTGCTCATAAGAAGGATCCACAGGCCCCCAAGCCATTTCTATGGCTGTAACACCAAGACTGAAAATATCAGCTGCAGCAGATATGTTGGTCGTTCTCAGCTTGGGTTCATAAAACGGTGGATATGTCCAAGTTTTATTAGTAGGATCAAGCGACACCGGAAACCTGTCCGGGTAGGCTGCTGAAGACCATCCTTCATCCCACACCTTTCTTGGGCAGTATTTTTCAGGATTGTGGAAATATTTCGTCTCCTGATCACACAGCTTGATTGATAATTTCGGAGTCTCGGCAACAAAGATGAACCCCGCATTGACTTGGGAATGGTATCTCTTAGAGCGATGGAGATTGGAGAGGCCCCGCAGAACTTCTCTCAATATGACAGCAATGCAATCTTCAGGCAATTTCTTGAGGGGAGTTCTTGAGATGATGTAGCGTAGGGAGCCCAGATTAAAGAACGGCATGACTTGACAGTGGAGATTTTTGTCATAGAATTCCCGTGTGATCCCAAAAAGGATATCATTCCCGTCGTAGGCGGGCCCTTCTCTATAGCCGCCGTCTGCAGGGACGAATGAATACGTTGGAAGGCTCAGTTTCAAAGCTACAAGAACAACTTGTCCGCTGCTGTGATCGTCTTCATTGTCCTCATTCTTGATGAACTCTGCTCTGTAGACTTGTTCCAAAGGAAGCATATCTCCCATGAAAGCCTGGATTTTGTACGTTCCACCCTGGCCGTCGTTGAAAACCATCTGCTGAGATTCTTGCGGTGGAGATGGTGACGAACAAGAAGCTTCATCACTGCCTTTCTTTTCAACTCCGACTTGAACAATCTCTGGACTCTTTGAGCCAGAGCTAGGGGCTTTGTTTTCCTCTGCTTTATGTCTACCTTCTTGCTCTTTCTCCATTTTCTTGATTGACCTGAAAACTGGGTTTTTTATTCTTGCCTATTTTCTTGAAAGGGAAAAGGGAGATAGGGAGATGATTTTAATGGGGTTCTGTTGATCTTGCTGTAAATGTAAAGTTTCATTGAGTATTATGCTATATATATATGGTTTACGAATGGGGGAAATGAAAACCGTTAGGGCAGTTGTTCAGTTGTGCCATGGATTTGGCCAATAAAATTGGTTAATTTTCGGTATAGAATTCAAGATGTGTATGTAAAAAAGTTTAACTTACAGGGACTAAACTCAAGTTGGGATTCACAAAACTAAACTCGCTTGAATTCGACTTAACCACTAAACAAATTAAGTTCACTTATCAAAAAGCTAGAATTATTTTAACTTGATTATACTCATTTATATCTTTGTTTAACATAAAATATGTATAGGATTCAGGGAAATGGTGATTATTAATGATTAGTGTAGAAATGTGCCATGGAGAAACATGTAAACTTGCTCAGATTTATTCTTATTTTTGAAGTGAAATATGTATTTATTTAGCCTCGTGTAATTAACCAACAAGTTCCCTTGCTAATGAAACTATAAGAGTCACTTCTAACTTCACAATTGTGCCATTTCTAGGTTCTAACTTCACTATCATGATTCTTAATCTTACCAGATTGTTTTGGTGGGCTCATTGTCTTACTTGACTGTCAAGACGAGTTGGGCTTTAAGGCGTGTGTTTAATTCCTCAGGCTTTTGGTCCTTGATTTTGGGGTAAATTAGGTACACAAATTTGCTTTAGAGTAGGGTAGGGGTGACAATTTTTGACATGACCTAAAAATACGACATGAACCTAATACAAAATTAATGGGTTTGGGTTGAGGTTTCGCGGGTTCGGATCAGAATCGGGCTGAACCCAATGAATCCGAAAAGAAAACGGGTCGAATTTGGGTCAACTTGTGGGTGACTTGATATGACCTGATAATCCGTTTACGAATTAAAAATAATTTAATAAACATAAAAATTATTTTATCTAACTAAACTAAGTTATTTTTTTCCAAAGGCATTAATCACTTAATCCTAAATGAATTTATTTAACTTGTGTGAAGCTGAAATTATTATATTTGGACAAATAATGTATTATATATATTTTTACTTTTATACTGTTTTAATTTATTTTATATTTGGTTTGGGATAAAACACTTTTACGGTGTTTTAATTTATTTTAGATTTGGTTTGAGATTATTTATTTAAATTTTTATTACTTGATTATGTAATTAGTCTTGTACGAAATTGGTTTTATTAGAAATTACAGTGGTAAATTTATACATTAAAATTAAGTTTCGGATCATTTCGAGTCGACCCCCCGCCAACCCGAAAATTTTCGGGTTCGTGTCTAGTATTTTGACCCCGTTTCGGGTTGACGGGTTAAGTTTGGGTCAGCGGGTTTTCTGTTATACCCGGGGTCTCAACCCGAAATGGACCCGATTACCACCCCTAGAGTAGGGTAGCAAACGAATCAAACCGCTTATGAGTAGCTTGAGTTCGAATTCGATCAACATCAAGCTCAAATTGATCAAGTCGAACTCGAGATCAAAGATATTCAACTCGCAAGTCGGCTCGATTATATCTACATATATATATTATTTTAATAGTAAAATTACATATATATTCATAATATTTTATTATTTGTTAAAATATTTATTATTTTATTTATTTTTTAAAAATAAAATAATTATTTTTAAAATTTTTTAAAGGTCGAGCTTTACATTTTGAGTTCATTGAGCTCAAGATTCATAAAATTAAGTTGAGACTCGATTTGATTAAACCAAAATTCGATTCGACTTGATTCGACTCGACTCGTTTATACCCCTACTTCGAAGTAGAATGTTAAACATATTTATTTACCAAACAAAAAATCTTTGAATTTCTTATGGTAGTGTTTGGAGGGTTTAAATGGCATTTTATTCTTCCAACTTCTTGTCTAAAAGACTATCTAATTTTCCTGATATTCCAAAACAAGGTTCGACTTATTAAAACTAATCAAGTCAAACATTAAATAGTATTTTGTGTTAGGTAAAATTTCAAACTTGGCTCGAGCGGAAATCGAATTTAGACACAACTTTAAATTCGGTAAGCTAAACAAACAAGTTTGTGCCAGTTATCATATGTTATGACCCAGTTGCAAGGTACGAGACTTGGATTTCACATTAGAAATATGGGATCTAGATGTGGGAATTATAAAATTTTAAATTCTCTCACTTGAACAGATAGCTTTTGAGGTGAGCTCTCTCAAGACTCTACATCCAGATCCATCACTTGCCCAAATATCTTATTGTCATTACCATCACCAGTTATACCAACATCTTCACATATGCCAAGTTACATCTTCAAGCCCAGTTCAAAAAGGCTTCAAAGAACGGTTTATGTATTAGAATTCTCCGATTATGGAGTATAAAATGGGATTCATGTATTACATATAACATTTTCTTCAGAATATTTATTGTCTCCCTTTTGCACATGTGGCATGATGAGCAATATAAAATATAAAGGTTTATGTATTAGAATGATTCTTAACACATATCAAACATTTCTTTAGTACTGGGTTTGGATTTTATGAAATGGGATTAATTACCGTCTACTTTGAATAGTGTACAATTGCTGTCTAACCCAAAAAAAATTAGTGTACAAAATTCATGGTGAGATATATGATATTGACAATCGATTCTGGAAATTATATTGAACAAATTATGATGAACTATTGCATATATTTATATTTAAAAAATTTAATACAACTAGAGGTGGTAACATAGGTGATTCGGATGGATTTGGACGAGTCATAATTGGATAATGGATATAATTATGTCAACTTATTTATATACCCATTTAATAAATGGGTTAAAATGAGTCAACCTATATGTACCCTTTTAAGAAATGGGTACAGGTATACCCAATTATCCTATACCCATTTATGACTCAATTGAAATTCTATTAAAATTGAGTTCAAATATATAATTATTTTGAATAGATATAAATGTATGAGTCGAGTCAACCCGTTATGCATCAAATAAATGGGTTTAATTGGATATTTATTTAGTCCCATTCAAATTTTATTGCATACCCAAATTCACTTACTGGTGAGTGGGTTTGGGCGGATCAATTTTATTAGATTGTACTTTACCGCTCTAAATATAACTTATGTTATACTATCTTTACAATACATAATGCTAGAGGACCATTGTGTGGTGTAACTACACACTGTCATTTTGTGTGTTTCCTATTTTACTCTTAATTATAAGGGTAAAATAGTTGCAATATTTTGCAAGACAACCCCACAATTACCGCATAATTACCAATTCACATTATCCACTAATTACCACTCTCTCACTCCAACTCCCACGTTTATTTATTCCACTCAACTTCCTTTTTTTTTTCCTCCTAAAGCAACTTCTTCTTCCTATGCCATTACCCGGAGGAGAACTCCGCTAATTCCTTTGTAGATATTGATATAGTTTGATACCAATATTTCAAATATCAATAAAGGGCTATGATAGAAAATAAAAACTTTATAAGGACAGAATTTCCATATATGTAATTTTTATTAATTGTACACCTACTAGGGTATGCCTTAATCACTAGTATAAATAAAAGCGAGTTATTATACTCCGAACTAATAACATATATTGGCTAATGAGTTTACCCAATCTGTTAGGTTACACTTTATTATTATTTGGATAAACTACATATAACTCCCCATAGTTTCAGCTATTGGCATATGAGCCCCTTAACATTCAAAATATCCACTTCACCCCTTATGATTTTTTGTAAAGCAGAAGCTTGATGGAAAATAACTTACATGACATTGTTGGTTGAAATATTAGTAGTGCCCTTATTTAAATATTAAATCAATCGACGGTTTAACTAGCTTGTATAAAAATATAAGGAAATTACGTAGATACATGCAAAAATCACAGGGAGGTAAAGTAGATATTTATACAAAATATAAGGAGAGTTACATGGATATTAAAATTTTATTATACGTACTTTTAAAGAGCGTTTGGTATAGATGTTGTAATTGATTGTGCATTCTGTCCATTTTCCACTTTACATAAAATCACGGGAGCTATGTGGCTATTTTAAAACCTTTGGGGGGTCACCTGACATTACATAAAATTACAGGGGGGTAATAAGTAATTTATCGTAATTATTTGAATTCCGCATGTGAATTACGTAGTTGTTATACATTTAGACCATAGACTGGGTTGACTCCAAAATCCAACAAGACTCCAAGACTCCAAGACTTATGAAAAAGACTTGTATCTGCAAATGTGGGCACTTGGTCTAAATTGAAGTACTTGTATCTGCAAAAGAACTCTTTGAGTGGTTCCATTAATTTCAAAATTGCAAACCTGCCTTTTGACCTAAGTGGTAACCAAATTACTGGAAAGATACCCACAGAATTTGGGAATGGTCCATATCCCAACACAGTGAATTTGAATCTTTCCCATAATAATATTTCTGGCGTTGTTCCCCGTTCTCTTAAACAATTGCGGGATATCCACCTCTCCCATAATGATTTGGAAGGTCAATTTCCGGATGATCTCCTCTTGAAGTTTCCTCTGACCAGGTTTGCTGGCAATCTGCGTTTGGGCGTTAATGCTTCTTATTTTCATATTCGCCTTGAATCTTTTTCTGCAACAAAAGGAGATGAACTACGTGTTTATTAGTCTTAGCATATTACTTCCGTTATTCTTAATTGGTGTATTACTATATGTAATCTTCTCTAGAACCAAGATTAGGAAGGAGGAAGTTGAGCTGGTAGGCAAGAAACATGGAGACATTTTTAGAATCTGGAACTATGATGGAAATATGGCATATGAAGACATCATTAAGGCAACAAAGAACTTTGATGTTCGGTATTGCATTGGAGGAGGAAGCTATGGCACTGTTTACAGAGCCAGGTTGTCAAGTGGGAAAGTGGTGGCTGTGAAAAAGCTTCACGACATGGAAAGCGAGAATCCAACCTATGTGAAGAGCTTTAGGAACGAAGCCCAAATGTTATCCAACATTAGGCATCGAAACATTGTAAAGCTCTATGGGTTCTGTTTACACAGGAGAGGTATGTTTCTGGTTTATGCCTACATGAAGAGGGGAAGTTTGTTTGGTGCCTTGAGGAATAGAAATGCAGCTACACAATTGGATTGGATTAAGAGGATGAATTTGATCAAGGGGATTGCAAATGCATTGTCATACCTGCACCATGATTGCAGACCACCTATGATTCATAGGGATGTATCAAGTAAGAATATTCTTCTGAATTCAGAGCTTGAAGCAAGTCTCTCCGACTTTGGTACAGCAAGACTGCTGGAGCTTGATTCATCAAATCAGACAACAGTGGCAGGCACTTATGGTTACATAGCACCAGGTAGTTTGCCTTGTTGTTTCAACTATAGTTTCTTTCACATTATCTCCATCATATTGTTTGTACACGTCAGAGCTAGAATTTCGTCCAGAAGCTTCAATCTTCAAGTAAAGAAAAGAAGACTTTCTCGTAGAAAAATTAATAGCACGATGATTAGATGTTCTACTTTTCTGTACTACGTATGCCCAAATAATCTAGCTTTGAAGACTCAAAGTGAATTAAATTTATGATATTTGCTTAAGAGCGATTTCACAGTTATGACAAATATACATTAGGGTCGATGTCAATGCGAAATTGCCAATCAGGATATGTATCAATTACCTGTTAATTTCTGTTGCAGAGCTAGCCTATACAATGGTGGTAACCGAAAAGGTTGATGTTTATAGCTTTGGCATTGTGGTCTTGGAGACATTGTTTGGAAAACATCCAGGAGAGTTTCTCTCCTCCTTGTCACCAGAATCTGCTAAACAAACAAAGCTGAAGGATCTACTGGATGCGCGTCTAGTCCCTCCTGTAAATCGCTTGGTTGCTCGCGATGTGGTTCTTGCTGTAACATTGGCAATGGCTTGCTTAGATCCCAACCCAAAATCTCGACCAACAATGCAGCAGGCAGTGCTGCAATTTATTTTCCCCACTAGAAACTCAACCATTCCTCTGCATGCCATCACCGTGGACCAGTTGATGCCTCCACGATTTAGTGCGCAATACGTTGCAAGGACTTTACCAGTACAAATAATGGGGGAGGGAGAGGGCAGAAAAGTAGCTCGTCTGCAAAGTTTTCAGGCTGTTTAGATAGTATTCTATGTAGATATAACTACCGCCATACCCAAGGCATCATCCGAGTACTGTATCATGCACTCACACCTATGGATCCTACATATATTGACTAGTAATATTAGTAATTACTTGTATTATTAGTTTATCCTCTTAGTACAGTAGTATGCATTACTATACTGTGTTTTCATGCCAAATCTATTACTAGCTACAAGAACATTGGTAATGGTATAGGATACTATACTATTGCTAATATATTGGCATTAGTATATATAGTACAACATTCTATAATAGCATATATGTGCGTATGTGCATATGTTACCCGGAAGCAAGATTCTTGATAGGCTTAATAAGGATTTTAAAAAGTCAGTTAATCAAAATCAGTAAAAGATTTAATATTGAAAGACTATATTGTGACACTTTATTAAATCTAACACGTAAAATATTTCAAACGCCTTCGAATTTAAGTAATATATTACAGGAATAAATGTTGTCGAAATTCTGGTGTTTATATGATTTGTTTTAGTGTAAGATTAAACCCGCATTCAATTAATCGATTTAAAACAACTCTATCTTTAAAAGCAATATAAAAGCTGATTATACACAGTGCAACCATATTTTCAATAACTACTAGGGGTAGCTACTTTTTTTAAAAAAAAAAAAAATAAATAAAAACTACCTAGAAATGGTGGGGGTTAGGCATAGATTCCGACCTATTTATTACCAAATTCAACTGAATGGTGGGTTTGATTCGATTTTTAATCGTGTAAATCTTTTGAATTAAATAATTTCAAATCACATGGGACAGGTGCCGGCGGAAATATAATCACATTAATAGAATTAATTTTGAGTAATGATGTATTGTTGGCACACCCAAAAAACCTCCAAGTACTCCTCTTTTTATTCAAATTCAATTTTATAATAAAGATGGAAAAATAAATAAACAATTATTATGTAGTTAGCTAATTTGGAAAAATATAATTGTATCAACTACTTTAATTAAATATTTATGCCATAATCCTACCAAGTGTGTTAAGACTAAACAATTAAAACAACTGAACATCATTTTTTTTTTTATTAGAAGTCATACATTAAAGATTTAGATATCAAGTTGTAGGTCATATTAACTGAGATAGGATTATTAAAGATGGTTTGTCCATATACCATTATTTCTTAGATAGTAAAAGATATTTCTTCTTAAAACATTCTGCCTTAGATATCAATTAATTTTCTTTCTTAATTCGAGTGGCATGGTTTTGATCATAATTGGTGCATTACATCATATATATATATATATATATATATATATATATATATATATATATATTGATAATTTCGTGCAATTAGCCTTTGACTTAGTTATTCATGCACATACTCATATGTATGCATTTCAAATGTGTCAGTTTTACGATTCTTAGTATAAAAAATCTTTCAACATAATAGATGCAGTCCCGTTAAAGAAACGGGTTAAGAACTAGTTTAAATCAAAGTCAAACTATAAAAGAGTATTTCATTTAATAGGCTTGACTAACGAGTGTCCTGAGGCACACGTTATTGGTTTAGAGGATATTAGCTGTTAATACTTTGGCAGAAGTGTAACTATTTTTGAAAAGTGACTGTTTGTATTTATATTGAAAATTGGGTGCGATTTAAGTGTTTTAACGAGTTTTAGCACTCATTAAAAAAAAATCATTAAAAAGGTCATCCTTGAGAGTGCAACTCCCTTTAAATTATCAAAAGGGCAAAGTACGCATTACCCTCCTGTGATTTAACTCTTTTTTACATTACTCTCTTGTGATTTGCTAAACTATATATAATTCCCTTATAAATTGGACTAAAGTGTCAAAGTCATGGAATTTGCATTCTATAACGGAGTCAATTAAAATGTCAAAAATATGTACCTTTTGTGAAGTTGGAAATTATTAATTAACCTCAAGGGGGTTATATATATATTTTTTGAAAACTATAAAGGGGTTATGTAATAAAACACTAAACGATAAGGAAGTTAAATTCATAAGGGGTTAAAATGCCATACATATTAAGTTTATGTATTTTGGTCATTTAATTAATTTAGTTTTAAACAAGGATATTCTCGACATTTCTTTGGGTTCCATTATAGAGAATCATTTTCGTGATTTTGATACTTCAATCCAAATTTTGAGGGATTATGTATAAATTTTAAAACTATGATGGAATTATATGAAAAATTATTAAATCACAGGGGTAAAGTGTGTTTTACCCTTATCGAAAAGAAAACGCAAAACAAAGCCTGGTCAAGAAACGAAAAAGTCTTCACGTGGTTAAGCCTCGCAGAAAAGTCTCCAAAATATTTTGCACAACAATCACAGTGAACTTGACCCTCAAATGTGAAACCATATCAAGGCAGAAGGAACACGTTACAAGCCTTCCTTGGTCGCCCTAAGATGCAGATTGGAAAGACCTTGACTTAAGACTTTAAAGTTTAAATGCAGGCCTTTAAATTCATGCTAGCATTGGTAACGTAGTTGGTTGAAATATCAATGTACTGTTACTAAGCACTAAAACAAATAATGGCCTTAAGCACTAAAACAAATAATGGCCTAATTATCTTTCATAAAACCATAAAGAAATTATGTAAATAAATGTAAATTTCACATGAGAATAAAGTGAATATTCATGCAAATTATAGATGGTTTAGTGGACATTATGATTTTATCACACACATTTTTTGAGTGCATCTAGTGCAATTGCCATTGTTGATGGTGTTTTTCATCCATTGTTCACTTTATATAGAACTACAAAAGAATTATGTGGATATTTTAAAACTTTGAGAGGTCATGTGGCAATATACAAAACTACAAGGGGGTTAGATGTAATTTGTCATAAAAATAATTATCAAAATTCCAAGATCCAAAATAAGAAGCCAAGAAGGATAAATTATTGATTACCCTCATGTGCATTTACATAATATCATTTGATCCCCCTAAGATTTTAATATATCCACATAACTCCTTTATAATTTTATGTAAAGTGGAAGTTTGATGAAAAATAGTCTTCATAACATGTAATGACAATATTGTCCTTATTTCAAGCACTAAATTGAATAAGGGCCTAATCACTTTTGATTAAATTACAAGAGGATTATGCAGATAGATACGAAACTATAGAGGAGTTAAGTGGATATTATAATTTATTGTCAGACATACTTTTGAAATACGTCTCGGTCAATCTTCGTAAACGAAGATATTTTCCATCCATTTTTCGTTGTGCATGTCATCGGAGATTATGTGAGTATTTTGAAACTCAATGGCATAAAGGAATTAGCCTCTTCATTTAGTGAAAAAGAGTAAATTGCTCAGCTGACCCCCAAATTATATTATATATTATTTAAACCCTTAGACAAGTTAATGTGTAAGTTTTTGGTCATTTTATCAATTTTTGCTATTTGACCTGACAGAATGGAGAGGCAAAGGGGCAAAATTATCCGTTCACATATTTGAGCAGAAGAATATACTTTAAGACCATCATATATGTTATATACTACTCATATTTAGAATTGTAAACGAGTCGAATCGAGTTGAGTCGAGTATCTTGTGTTTAAACTCTATTTGTTAAGCTATTCGAATAAGATTCATGTTCCTTCGATAATATTCGAGATCCAAATTTGTGTTCGTGTTCAATTTGTTAAGCAAAATCCTAGTTCGAATTCGAGTTTAAGGTCGACTGGTTTAACATAAACGAGCCATTCGCAAACAATTAGACCCATATTTGTGAATAAATAAGCTTGGAATTAAGAATTAGGAATACAATATTAACCATAAATTTTGTGAAATGACAATTAGGTCCATGTTTGCGAATGAACTCGTGTTCGTTTGATTACTTATCGAGTCAAAATATTTGTTCAAACTCGACTCATATAAAATTTCGAACGAGTCTAAATAAGCCGAGCTAACGAATAGTTATGTTCATTTAACAGCTATACTCATATTTTTCTTCCTTTCACGAGGCTGTCTAAACAACGTCAAAGAAAGTGCTAGTATTTCTCTCCTTTCTTGTTTCTTTTTCGCTCCTAAATTCACAAACTAAGCCTTGCATGCTAAAATTTACTATTAATCACATTTTCAAAATTTGCCCTTAGATTTCCCCTTTAGTACGAAAGAGGACACCCATTGGATTTGAGAAGCATATGAGGATGATGGAGGATGTTCTTAATCAAGAAAAAGGTTATGAGTAATTTCCTATTAATTGTACCACTTTTTCTTAAAATTTGGCAAAGGTTACCAATTTATTCAAATTTCAATTTGGTAGAATTGTATACGTATCTGGTAAAAGTCGTTTTCTAAAAAGAAATATGTTAGTTCAAAGAAATAATTGAGTTATTGAATCATTCTAAACTGCGTTTGCCTTTTAAGAATAATCAACATAGTTGGACAGAAACCTTTCAGCCCGATAAATTTGACTGGTTTTTGAGGCCTGAAAGATGTGACTTTGAGCAATGCCCATTAACCAGTAATTAATGCTAAACAATCTCTCCAAATCACAGCTTTAAGCTAATGAATTGTGAACAAAGATGAGTATATCTTATGAGTTACTAATTATTCAAATAAATTAAAAAAATAATGCATTATTGGGACCAAAATATCGAGGAGACAAAAAAATCCTGATCAACAAGATTATTAATACGCGTATGTCATGGTGCCCAAGCCATTAACTCCAGACCGACTACCACAGAATAACTCAAATTGTTCTTCCTTCTTTCTTTTTAATGTCCTAGATTGACATGCTAAGCCTTATATCTAAGGTTTACAATTTTTTTTTTTTGGGTATAAGAAATCTGCTCTTAGAAGTTAGAATTTATTCTTTAGCACAAAGAGAGCAATAATTAGATTTGAGAACCATATGAGGATTGTGGAGTAAGTTTTTAAAATTTTTTGTAAAAAAAAAATAAAAAAAAATTTCCTTTTAACTGTACCGCTTTTGTTGAATTTGGTCAAAATTTACCAGTTTAGTTGAAGTTGACTTTATTATCTGTGCCTGTTAAACGAATATCCGTGTAATTAAATTTTCAAAATTGGTGTCTAAATTCGTGTTGCACATTTTGACTAATTATACTGAAGAAATATTTAACTGTACAATTGTTACTAAGTTAAATGCCTATGACCAGATATGTCTTGACTAAATCTATAGAAATGCAAAAGAAGGATCACTACAGTTTAAACTCATATGTCTTAGTGTTCACGTGTACGCAAATGCCTTGAACAAAGATATGCCATGAATTTGATCACCTTTGTTTTTAAAAATTTTTTTTTTTCAAAAAAAGGGTTGTGAGTAATTTCTTTCTGATTGAACCGCTTTTGGCAAAGGTTACCAATTCTAACTCTGATGTTGGCTCAGAGTAATAATGGAAGAGTTCTTGGAATCAACTCAAGACCACAAACACTGCTGACTGCACTGCATTGCGAGTCTTCCAAATTAAAATGCTTTTAACAATCAGTGTGAATGATACAGATTGAACTAAAATATTAAGTGCGACTCTTTCAATCCAGACTACTTGCTCAGGGCTGGCGCTTACATTTCATCTATCTTACCTTAATTACGGTCTTTCATGGTTATTTACGGTCCTACTACTTAAATTGTTTTCTATTTAGTAGAACCGTATACTTGTTAGGAGTCCAATTCTATCTTACATATCGTCTATCTTATCTTAATTACGGCCTTTCATGGTGATAGAGCATCGATGGATGTTGGATGCAGCGGAGTTGTTGTTCTCATGATACTGGCAGTAGCAATAGCAGGAGCAGCAAAGGAGTCTGCTGTGAATTTATTAGAGGCTGCGGCACTGCACAAGAGTGGCTGGTGGGGAGACAGCAGTACTACTGCAACAAACATCTCTGCCCACTGCCATTGGTATGGTATCATTTGCAACGATGCTGGTAGTGTTACCGAAATACTACTTCCGAACTACCGGATTCACGATGAGTTGGCAAATTTCAGCTTCCCTTCTTTTCCGAACCTGATTAGACTAGACCTCAGCGGGAATGAACTTTACGGAGCCATCCCACATCAAATAGGTGCACTCTCCAAACTCACCTATCTCAATTTGTCTTTCAACTATCTTTATGGTGAGCTCCCGTCTTCTCTAGTAAACCTTACGCAACTAGCACAACTCGATGTTTCTTGGAATTCGATTGACAGCTTAAATCCTCCGGGGATTGGAAACTTGACAAACTTGGTTACTCTAGACTTGAGCTACAATTCGCTTTTTGGTCCCATCCCTTCCACTCTTGGCCAATTGTCTAATTTAGATTCCCTTGACCTCAGCAATAACCACTTCAGTGAGACAATTCCTTCAACTCTTTTTAATTTGACAAATCTTTCCCAACTAGACATTCACTGGAATCCCGCAATGAGAGGATTTCTTTCAGAAGAAATAGGAAATTTGAAGAGTTTAGTTGAATTAGACTTGAGTCACGGTGCATTTTCTGGCAGCATCCCTCCAAGTCTTGGCCAGCTGTCCAATCTACACTCCCTTGACCTCAGCACTAACCACTTCAGCGGGACAATTCCTTCAGCTCTTTTTAATTTGACAAATCTTTTCCGACTAGACATTCACTCGAATCCGGCAATGAGAGGATTCCTATTTGAAGAGTTTAGTTGAATTAGACTTGAGTTACGGTGCATTTTCTGGCAGCATCCCTCCAAGTCTTGGCCAACTGTCCAATCTACGCTCCCTTGACCTTAGCACTAACCACTTCAGCGGGACAATTCCTTCAGCTCTTTTTAATTTAACAAATCTTTTCCGACTAGACATTCACTCGAATCCCGCAATGAGAGGATTTCTCTCAGAAGAAATAGGAAATTTGAAAAGTTTAGGTGAATTAGACTTCAGTGGCCTTAATCTTTCGGGTGCCCTTCCTTCAGCTCTTTGCGACCTAACCAAACTAGTATCTCTTTCAGGTGCTGAGAATCAAATTTATGGTTCCATTCCCTCTGAAATAGGAAATTTGAAATATTTGGAATATCTCCATCTTGGGTCCAACCGGCTGACTGGTCAAATCCCTCCGACCCTTGGCAATCTGCCTTTTCTACAAATTCTAGATCTTTCCTCAAACCAACTTACAGGCCAAATTCCTACCCAATTTGGGGATAATATTAAATCCAAGTGGTACCTTTCGACTTTGGATCTTTCCCACAATATTCTCTCTGGCACTGTCCCCTCGTCTCTTCTGCAACTGGGGGACGTCGACCTGTCCTATAATGCTTTGGAAGGTGAACTTCCGTGCAAGCTTGTCATTCAGTTTGGTTCAGAAAGATTTGTCGGCAATCCACACTTGCGTCACGATTCCACTCTTTGTGGAGTATCTCCTCCTGTTATGGGAAATCACACTCCTGTTATTGTGGGAAATCATAGACATCGCACCCTATACTACATCATAGGTCTTGGCGTAACGTTGTTGGTGTTCGCAATAACTGGCGGATTAGTAATTTATATCCGGTGCTTCAAGAAAGTTAAAGTCGAGCTCATGGACAATAAACATGGAGACATTTTCAGAATATGGAACTATGATGGACATATGGCTTACGAAGACATAATTAAAGCAACCAACGATTTTGATGTCTGTTATTGCATCGGGACAGGAGGGTATGGCTCTGTATACAGAGCACGGTTGCCAAGTGGGAAAGTAGTGGCTTTGAAAAAGCTTCACCGTTTGGAAGGCGAGAATCCAAATTTTGACAAGAGCTTTAGGAATGAAGCCGACATGCTATCTAAAATCAGGCACAGGAACATTGTAAAGCTCTTCGGATTCTGCCTGCACAAGCGATGCATGTTTCTGATTTATGAGTATATGGACAGAGGAAGCTTGTTTTGTATCTTGAGAGATGAAACCGAAGCTGTGGAGCTGGATTGGATTAAAAGAGTGAATTTGATCAAGGGCATTGCCAGTGCATTGTCCTACTTGCATTACGATTGTGATCCGCCAATCATTCACAGGGATGTGTCAAGCAACAACATTCTTTTGAATTCACAAATTTTGGAACTTGATTCATCAAATCAAACAGTCATTGCAGGCACCTTTGGCTACATGGCACCAGGTAGGTTACCTTTTCACCTTGTTTTTCATATTTTCTTGATGCACATATTAGGCTTAACTTTCAAGGACAGAAAAGAAAAAATTCTTCCAACTGAAACGATTGTTTTGTTGAATAGCAAGTCTATAGTTGTCCAGTTGAGATTAATTTTATTTTATCTAATTACTTATCCATGCAGAGCTAGCCTATACCATGGTGGTCACTGAAAAGTCTGATGTGTATAGCTTTGGTGTTGTGGTGCTGGAAACATTGTTTGGAAAGCATCCACAAGATTTCCTTTCTTGCATATCATCACAACCCAATGAACCAATAATGCTGAAGGATCTTCTAGATGCCCGTCTGCCCCCTCCGACTAACCCTTTGGTCGTTCGTAATGTGGTTCTTGCGACTGCGTTAGCCCTGGATTGCATCAACGCAAACCCGAAATGTCGACCAACAATGCAGCAAGTGGTGAACCGATTTGAAGTGGGCAGGCGAGAATCAACTAGGCCTTTGCACACCATTGCTGTGAATCAGCTTGTTAGTCCACCATTGCTTTCACTGCCTGACCAAACCTACACAGTAGTTTAAGCACCATGAATGACTTTCATGAATGAATTCCATGTGGATATCTCTGCCATCATCCAATTTTTCTATCGATGTTTCTACTTACCTATAATATTTACACCAAAGGAGAATTTAATTACTACTTGTCTTTATTTATCAATCTCTAGTTTGTCACATAAACATAGAATGATTTTCAATATGAATTTATTATATCACCTATTAGTTTTAATTCACTAAACTCAACCGCAGAAAAAAAAACACAAACACCAAGTTTCGAAATGTGGAACCTACATTCAGCGGGGTACTATTTTGGTGCTTATGACCCTACAAGTCCATTGCTGCAATTTTTACTTCCTCCTAGGATGCCCAAAAAAAAAAGAGTTTCCTGGTTGCTTCCGTTTTTTTGTTTTTGAGGAAAATGCTGGTGATTCCTTATTGCTTCCTGGATTTTTAACCTAATGTGTATAATAGCTTAAGAAAATGTTGTAGTCTTACAAGAAATTCTGGAGCACATCGAGTACCGATAGAATCCGAGGAAAAGACCGAGTAGATATGTATAGGAGGCAGGGGAGGTGGCCGTTGGGTTGGAGTGGATTGGATTTTTGCGTTGGGCTAGTGGGCTTAAGTTGTTTTATTGAATGGTTGGTAAAAAGGATTATTTGATGCGTTTTCACAATTGGGTGAACTGAGTGACTCTTCTTTTTTTTTTTTTTTTAATTATTTTTCGGGCAAACTACACTTTATCCCCTTGTAGTTTAGTATTTTTGTACATAATTCCCCTATAATTTTAAAGACTATACATAACTCCTTCATAGTTTGGATTAAAGTGTCAAAATAATGAAATTTGTAATCCATAACGGAGTCACCTAAAATGTCAAAAATACCTCTATGTAAAGTTGAAAATTATTTATTAACCACATGGGGGTTATGTGTATATTTTGAAAATAATCAGAGAGTTATATAGTAAAGAATTAAACCATAAGGGGTTATATGGTAAAATATAAAACCATACGGGATTAATGCGCCATGTATATTATGTTTATATATTTTGGTCATTTCATCCATTTTAATTTTTAAATAAGGGTGATTTTGACATATTTAAAGGTTCCATTATGAATGATCATTTTTATCACTTTGACACTTTAATCCAAATCATAGGGGATTATGTATAGCTTTTTAAACTATAGGAATGTTATATACAAAAATACTAAACCATATGGGGGTTAAATGTAATTTGCTCTAGTAGTAGAAAGGATTACTAAACTTGGATGAATAATTAATTAAAAGATTTAGACTACATCGTCACGAAGTCTTCTCTCTACTTTTTTTTTGAGTTTATTTGAAATTTATCCTTAATTCTTAGTTTTCATGTGATAAATTATATTACATTTTATGCCGTTTGATACAATGCAATATGTAATACTTCTATTATTTATATCACAAACACTAGAGAGAAGGCCCATGCAAGCATGGGAATTTATACTTGTGGTGTTGTTAAATAATTTGGTAATGTTGGACAATTTGTTTTTACCTTAGGCAAGGCATACTATTAATGATAGCCAAAAATACCATACCCATGTGTAAATAAAACATTACATACTATTATAGTAGATAATCAGTTGAGAGAATTATAAAAGTTTACGCAACCATAGTAAAGAGATAATAGATATAGTTGTAGTTCAGATTGAGGATTGATGATGCATGGTTCTACTATTCAACCTCATATTATTCACATAGATGGATAAATAAAGTAGTAGTCCTGAAATGTAAGTAAGTAAATAGCTGAGGTGGCAGTCTCGCAATCCTTTCTATTGAAGAGTAGGTGATATAAGAATAAGAAAGGACACAATTAGATTTCTACTTCTCTAGGTACGATTTCTTGGTTGGTGGCTAAGCGCCTTCTGCAGAGTTTTGAGTTTTAGTAATTGTGGTCGGAGCTTCTGGAGTGGAGCTTGCTTTGGTTGTTACTTCTGAAGACTTCTTTTCATGAGTTCAACTAAATTCAATAAGAAAATAACATAGCATATGAATACAGAGACTTGTCTATTCAAATAGGAATTTCATTCCACACGTACACAACTCATGCACTTAACTATTGAAATAAAAAATTGCATCACCTGTAATATAATTTTAAAATTGGATCAATCATGCACACACTTGTTAAAGACGTTACATAGTTGTAATCAATGCAATAAAATTGTAATCACATTTAAACAACATGTGACATGCATCAAGTGGAAATACACAATTACCTTGTACCATGAGGAACAAAATGTAATCGAACAAGAAAATCTACCCACACTTCACCCACCTATAATAGCGATGACAAAAGCTAATACATGAATTTTATTGTGCAAACAAAGCTATACAATTCACAAAGTGAGAAACACGAGTGAAAATGAGCATGTCTCTGCAAATTTGACTTTAATGGTGTGAAATAGAAACATCTGAACCCGCAATTTTATATATTAATGACTACCATTATTGCCACTTAGTTCAGAAACTAATCTACAAATGGTGGAGAAGATAAGGGGTCTTTAATGACGTTGCGCTCAAATGATTCTTAGTCTCCTACACTTTAATGAGCTCTTCAATATGCAATTACTGGTTCAAATGAGTGTGCTTTGGAAGAAATCAATTAATGTTTCTTGATCTTTAACGATGAAGAGCAAAAAGCTTCCTACAGTTACAATTCACAAATAGTTTTCAAATGGTTCTTCTACTTAGGCCCATTAATATTGTCTTAAATACATTTAATTCAATTGGGTGGCTTTACCCCAATTCATTCCACTATCTTTCTGTCTTACCATTGTACTAAACGGGTAGTTAAAAGGGTGAAACTGTCACTAATAACACATAAGTTCCATTTGCGAGTGTAATCATCATCTCACAAAAGAGCACTTTAGTAAACTCGTACTCCAATGAGCATGGCTTGTGTGTACTCTAAAGTGGATTACTTGTATGATACTTATACAATCCCTAAATTGCCCCTTAAAATATCAGATGAAAATCACTCAATAGATAAACTACAACTCATTTATATATATATTACATAGGATACATATAACTTTTGTTGCTTTTAGTTCTCTAGATTATTAGAGACACTCTTACATACCTACTTCTACTTCTACGGTTTGATAATCATCGTCATATCAATTCAGTTGAAGTGTAACAATAATGTCGGCAACTTCTTTCTTTTCCCAGCTAATTTCTCTCCCTTACTTTTCCTCGTCATCGTTACTCTTAATTCTTCGTCACATCCCTCTGTCTTGCTTCAATTTTCTCCCATCCCCAAGTTCCTCCTTCAAGTTTTTTTCAATCACTTAGTCTAATTATTTGGCTAGGTAAGTTGTTCAACTGGACATCTTTTTACATGTTCAGTAATGATATTCCGAAAATTTTGAGGTATTATTAGACTAAAAAGAACTTAAAGATTTATGTCTGGTTTGATAATCCAATTCATAACATAAATATTTTTTATTAAATGTAAGTGGAAAGGTTTGAACCTGTGATTTCTTACTTGCACTGCCTCCACCTGAACCACCCAATCTTTCCTTCCTCCCAACACTTAAATTTAATGGTTTAGATATTAACATATTTAGAGACATTTGATAACAAAAAATAAAATATCCAAATTAATTAAGTGATGCTGAATTTTCTAAACAAAACTTACTCTAAAAAATGAATAATAAGCTATTCACTTATCACTTAATGTGACATACAATCAAATGCATCAGTTTTTTTATAAGTGGAAAAATGTATCAAATTCAGTATTTAACAATTCAACAATTTAATAGAGTCAAATTTCGGATTTCAAATTTCTGTTTTCAAACTTCAATTTTATCAAATGCATACTTAGTCTATAAAAGTCGTGTCTCCAAATTAGGGCTGCAAATGAGTCGAGTTGAGTCAAGTTTTGACCTTATCGAGTTGAGTTTTAACTTAATTTTATTAAACTCGAACTCGAGTTCGAGCTCGACGAGCTAATAATTTAAAGCTCGAGCAAAAAATAATTATTTTATTTTTTAAAAAATAAATAAAAATAATATTTTTTTAAATAAATAATAAAATATAATATATATGTAATTTTACTATTAAAATAAAAAATATATATACTTAAAATAAAAAAATATAAAATATACATATACTTAAAATAAAAAAATAAAAAAAAATATATATACTCGAGCTTGCAACGAGCTTAATATTTTGAGCTCGAGTTCGAGCTCGAGTCGAACTTGACTCGCAAGTGGCTCGGTTTGTTTGCAGCCCTATTCCAAATATATCCTCTTTCTTTAGGGATTAATTTTGTTAAGTGAAGTTAGATAAATATATGGGTTAATCTTATATACACTAACAGTATATACATTATTATTGTCGCGCCCCATTTTTTTTAATAATGAAAAATAAATGGTTTAAAAAGTAAATTTTAATTCAATTTTTTTTGAATATGATGTTTGATTTAAAAAAGAAAATAGGCCTAAATGGGGTTTGAAAGATGCGACGATTTGGGCCCAGATTATAGTTTAAAAAGGATTTTTGAATAAAAAATCGGAGTTGCCACTTGGTATAGAGTTAAGGTGTACCAAGTCACCTAAAAATAAATTTTTAGAAAAAATTATGAAAAACCCCTTTTAAACAACTCCTAAATCTACAAAAATCAGAGAAAATGTTCGAGAGTCACATTTGAAAAAAGGGAAGACAAGGATAAAGATTCAAGGCACCCTTTCAATCTAACCAAGGCTAGTTGCGTGATTTAGTCAAAGATTTTCTTATTTTAATCTAAAGATTTATCACATTTGGATGTACTATATGCATGCAAACCCTAAACCTAGGAGGGTATCAGGGGGCCGAAATTTCTCTTCAAAACTCAATTGGTGCAAATCACATTAATTATGATACCCAATAGTGACTCTTCGGAGAGGTCACGAATAATGTGAAAATATGAGACTCTAAGAAAAGAAAAGAAAAGAAAAGAAAAGAAAATAATAATAGACAAATATACATGACTTAAAAGAATGCATCATATCGGGTACGGGGGACTAATGATCGTGACTCAATTTTCTCTTTAATAGAGGGAATACGAGCGTTGTGACAGCCCTACCTTCCCCTAAGGCATACCAAAGGGGTTAGCGGACTGCGTGTCCAACTC